GCACCGGAGGACGAAAGCAAGAGCACCACCTAATGAGATTATGTGCATCATGTGTAGTCAGTTAGTCGTTATGACTTAGTCGTCACAATGTACCGCGGTCAATTGCGCTATCGAATTACTGCGCATCATCCCGTTTGAGAGCTTTGTCGACGTCCCCGCATAGAACTTGGCTACAAGTGGCTTGAGAGAGACTCAGAATTATAACGCAATCAATTCCAATGTGCTTCCGCTGCCCAGGGGGCCATAGCTGCTGGTTTGAGTTGAGCAAAGCCGATGATGACGACAACATCCACATCGTGGGCAGCAGATTGGCGTGGATGTGCGCAGTTGGTAGAGAAGTCCCTGCGTCGCCGTGACAAATATAGCTTTCTGATGATGCCAATGCTTACTGTAACGAGTGTCAGCCGTTTAAATCATCTCCGCGATTTCAGTGTTTGCTCTGTTGCAAAGAGGTCTGTTTTCTGTCATATCGATGGCTGAGGATGGAAATGAGACCTGCAGGGAACTCAGAGGAGCGTTGTTTCAAATAGACGCTGGGAACACAAGCACTTGGACCGTTCACTATTCCAACCCAACTCAGGAGAATAACAACAAATTTCAGTGAGGGAAACTCGGCCTCTGAATAAAGGCTTTCAATGATTCAAGTATACTTTATACATCAATCATCAGTCCCATGGTTGTTGTTAATCGTTCACCCGAAGTTCGATATCCACAACATCTCAAAGATAAGCGGCGGCCCTGGCTTACTTCAAACAAACGACTGTGCGTCTAACAAAGTTCTAGTCCCATTAACGTTAAACAGACCCCACCAACACCGGCTCCAATCGTACGAATTGCGTCAACCTAATAAATGAACCGTCCCTGTAATTTGACAGGCGCCGCATCTGCCGTGCCGATGTGCAGTCTCGTCCAGGGTCCCTTCGGGTTGCCCCCAGTCCAGCCCCTTTCATCGGGCTGGGCCATCAGATGGCACATTGACAGCTACCGCCAACAAGGCTGCTGCTCCATGTCCAAAGCATTGATCCGCAACTAGGCTAGCCGTGCCGAGGCGCTGTTGAAATGAACCAAGCAATGATATGTCGGAGCAGGATCGAAAGGGGACGGCATGCCGCTGTGGAAAAGTCTTTGGCTGGAAAACAAAACGATCGTCCCAGCCGCCAATCTTCGATGAATCTGTAACTTGTCGGTCGCTACCAAATCGCAATCATGATGAAAGCTCTCTTCCTCACGGCATTGGCTGCTGGCTCAGCTGGTAGGTTGCCCTGTTAAACCCCCCCTTGCATCTACGATACACCCCCTAACCAACATCCGTCCTACAGCCGCGGCGAGCCTCAAGTACCATGGAATCGACTGGTCGTCCACCATCGTGGAGGAGCGTGACAAGGGCGTCACCTACAAGAACGCCCAAGGCGTCGCGAAGCCCCTAGAGGAGATCCTCGTCGACGCCGGCGTGAACATGGTCCGCCAGCGCGTCTGGACCGTCGAAGGCGATTACGGCATCTCGTACAACCTCGAGCTCGCGAAGAGAGCCAACGCCTCCGGGCTCATGTTCGGCCTCAACCTGCACTACAGCGACGGCTTCACAAACCCGGGTCTGCAGGACATCCCGACCGGCTGGCCCACGGCCATTGACGCCCTCGAGGCCCAGGTCACCAACTACACCGCAGAGGTGTGCGCGGCGTTCGCCGCCGCCGGCCTCTATCCCGAGATGATCACCATCGGCAACGAGATTGACGGAGGTATTCTCTGGCCCACAGGAAAGTACGACCAGCCGGAGAACCTCGCCCGCCTGCTGCACGCCGGCTCGGCCGCCATCCGCGCCTCTGCTTTGGGTTCAACCACGAAGATTGTCACGCACCTCGCCCACGGCTACGACGCCGACCTGCAGGACTGGTACTACGACATGCTCGTCAAGACTGGCAAGTTCACCACCGCAGACTGGGACGTCATTGCGGTGTCCTTCTACCCCTTCTGGAGCTCGGAGGCGACATTTTCTGCCCTCGAGACTGCTCTCAGTGGCCTCGCGACGCAATACAGCAAGGAAGTTCAGGTTGTCGAGACGAACTGGCCGACCAAGTGCACGTCGCCCGATTACACGTTCCCCTCGGACCAGCTTAGCATTCCGCTGAGCACGGCAGGCCAGACGGAGTACATCACGATGGTCGCGGATACCCTGAAGAAGATTCCCTCTGCGACCGGTCTTAATTACTGGGAGGCTGCATGGATTTCCAATGCCGTCCTGGGTTCCTCTTGCGAGAGCAACGTCATGTTTGATGGTACTGGAAAGGCTTACGATAGTCTTGCTGTTTTTGGCACCATTTGAGATGGTCTTCTAGTGTTATTCCTCTTCGATAGAGAAATATCGCATATTCATGTACATATTTCTCCGAGGTAATCCTGTTCATCCAGTAGAGATCAATTACTTCAGTACATGACTCAGTCTTGATCGCCGTGTTGAGTGCATTCTATCTCAGGTAGTTTTCTGGAGGAATTCGGCGAGCATCACATCTCACGCAATGATTGAGCTTGTAAGATGATTTCTCCCGGCACGACAAGGAACGTCCCGTCAAATTTCATTAACGACACTGAGCGGATCGGAACCTTGTTTCCTCCAAAAAAAAAAACGAAAAAAAAAAGAAAGAAAAGGTCAAATCATTTGATCTTATCCTCAGAATTATGTGATGCTTTATTGAATAGAAAGATGAATTATATAGTTCCCCCTCATCTTGACACGCCTGTGAGAGATGCGTCCTCTAATCCGCCGAGAAAGTATGTACAGAGAAGAGAAATTACGACCCGGAAGCCTGGGTAGAGCAGTTCGCCGCTTAAACACCAACGCAGACGTAAGTCTTGGCCCACATGTTTTGACAGGTCGCGCCCACGCCCGTGTTCCACTTGACAAAGTTGGCGAGGGTGATGCCGTTGTAGCTGATGATCTGGTCGCACGTGTTGCCTTCGGACACATAGTGGAACTTCTTGCAGTTGGTCACCATTCCCGGCTGCGTGGGCTGGGGCGTAGTCACGCCGTTGCCGGGGGCCGTGGTGGAGACCGGAGGCTTCGTCGTGGTAGTCGGCGGCGTCGTGGCGCCCCCGATGACGCCGACGCACACATTCACCTCGGCCCACATGCCGCTGCAGTCGGCGCCCACGCCTGTGTTCCACTTGGCGAAGTCGGCGAGGCTGATGCCATTGTAGCTGAGGACCTGGCTGCAGGTGACGCCCTGGGCAATCCAGTGGAACTTGTTGCAGTTGGTCACCATGCCCGGCTGCGTCGGCTGCGGTGTCTGGATGCCGTTGCCCGGGGTCGTGGTGGTGGCAGTCACGGGTTTGCTGGTAGTTGTCGGCGGCGTCGTGGGCGTGGTTCCGCCGATGACGCCAACGCAGACGTTGACTTCGGCCCACATGCCCGTACATTCTGCGCCGACGTTGGGGTTCCACTTGGCAAAGTCGGCGAGACTGATGTTTGCGTCGCTGAGGACCTTGCTGCAGGTGACCCCGGACGCGACAAAGTAGAACTTGTTGCAGTTGGACACCATGCCGGGTTGAATTGGTGTAGGAGTGGTCACGCCATTCCCGGGAATCGTTGTGGTGGTAGAGGCTCTGGTGGTGGTTGTCAACGTCGTGGGCACACCGGGAGCGGTAGTGGAAGGGGGCGCGGGCGCCGCTCCCCAGTTTTGCTCGATGCAGTACGAGTTGCCTGTGACAAAGGTACAGGAGGTAGACAAGATGGGGTTCTGGTGAGGATGAGTGTTAGCAACATTCAAGTAGCATTGTCTTCCCAGAACGTTCAACTTGGTTTGATAGACATAATTCTATCAAGACACATGATGCTAGACTATAGGGAGCAGACTTACGTATGCAACAAGCTGAGCCTGAGTGATCCCATAAGTGGCAGTCACTCGCTCGCAGGTATCAGATGCGCCGGCGACAAACCACCAGGTGCAGTCCGTGATGGTGCCCGGATCCGCGGTCGAGGGTGGTGGCTCGGCCCACTGAGCGACAGCGCCGAGGCACAGAAGCTGCGCAATAAGGCTTGACTGGAGCATGAACTTCATCTTGAAAACAGGAAGCTTGCTGAATTTGCTTAGTCAAGTCTACTTGATCGTTACGCTGATGACAAGGGGAAGCTCAATAGATGTAAGATAGACCATGATACGACATATAAATATACAACATCATGATAGTAAGCTGATTCGGTTTGTCGTTTTCAACCAAAAGTCCCCAAAGTCTGGACACCCATGCAAGGCTCGTACCGCGTAGAACTAAACGAACCCGACCCAGATTGCAATTTCCGACTCCTCTCCGGCCAAGGCACGATGCTGACTTCATCTCCGCAACGGCGTGAAATTTCTGTATCTAGCCAGTAAGCGTTGTATTAGGAGCCACAACTTCTGGGCAGTTGATCTATAGGATTCTCGCCTACATGCATATATTGGTGGCGACTCTGAGTAGCCGAGGGTCATCCCGAGGCGAGTTCAGGCTGAGAAGATGTTTTGTTCCATACGTTGCATTGCCAAGATAGACTATTTTGGTAGCCATGCGAGGGGTGCCTGCGGTTGCATTAGGCTTCCTCTGCCAAGAGACAGGGATTCATGCACGTAAGCCGAGGGATCCATCGAACTTGATGAATACTGGAGTCTCTAGAGTGTAGTAATATCAGACATAACTGAGAGACTCTCAATGTACCGACTGAGACGGGCCAGAAACGAGTGATAAGGTTGCCGAATAGGGTACATCTCACACGCACCAAGTGGGCTCGAATCAAGGTTCTCTGGATATCTCATACCAAATTCAAGATCATGGAAAGCAGATTCTAACAGATTCAAGGCCAAGACATCTTAATTACACAGATATATGAATATGAAGCTAACGAGTGTCGTGAAATGTAAAGAGAAACAATGTTGTGCAGAAGGACCACCTCTTTCCTCCCAGATAGTAGAAAGTATAACAGCACCAAAGGCCAGAAAAACGCTGCCCTAATCCGACTCATGTAATCCAGTTCAGAGAGTCTGGTCAAAGTCTCTGACTGGGTGAAGACAGTACCAAAGCCCAACACGCAAGTACTGCGAGCAGCTTTCGGCATTGCGCAAGGAGGGGTTGGCCTTCAGGAACAGGTTGATAGTCACAGCGTTGCCGGCAATGATTGTCGAGCAAGTCGCGCCCTCCTGGACCTGGACATATTGACCGCATAGATCCGTGGTACCCTGAGCGACTGTGCCAGTCGCAGGGGGGTCAACCCTGGTGTCGGCGTAGCCGTCGCCGGAACCACCCGGACCTCCGATGCCTCCGTTGCCCGTGTCAGTTCCGTTACCGGAACCAGGGCCACCGTCGGGAAGTCCGCCGGGCGCGCTGACACAGATTACGTTGCCCCAGTACGGAGGCGAGGTCTTGGAGGACCAGACGTTGGAGCACCGGTCATTCAGGCCGCCGTTCCACTTGATGATGTTCTGCCATGTGGTCGCCTGGTCCACCCCAATGGCGACGCAGTCGTCTCCCTCCTTGACATCATACGTGGTTTCGCAAGTCAGGGGGAGACAGAGCTCTAAGCCGGTCTGGGGAGCGTCGCAGTCTAGGAGGCTTGGGTTGATGTAATAGAGACTTGCTGCAGACTGAAGTCGAAAGGCTCGTTAGCATCATGCTGTCGCTCATCGTCACCGTTCATTCTCGCCATGTTACACTTACGATGGACTTCGCCTTTGCAATGCTGTTGCAAGTGTCGCCGTTTTGAACAGTGTATTTGACTCCCGTCACGCAGCTATCTGGCACAGTACCATTGGGGCTTATGACGGGTGGTTGGGGCTCTGTAGGCGTAGTAGCCCCTCCACAGTCTGTAACAGGGTCTTGGTCAGATGCTGGTAGAGGATTTGAATCGTAAGTTGGGCTTGAGCACTTACTTTCGTTGATGTAAAGCAGCCTCTCGGCGTGCAAGCTATCGTAGGCGGAATAAGGCGATCGCTGCATGAGCCGGAGCTTCTCTCCGTAACAGAAGGAGCAAAGCTGATCCTTGGGCATATCAGCGAGGTCCTCTACATCATCAAAGGCCTCGATCTTAGCTGCGGCACATTGTGTTAACAAAATGTCTGGTAGCGTATTGGAAGTTCTCAGAAGTTGTTTTTCCCCATAGCTCACCATTGCAGTATGCGCCGTCGGTATCCTTCAAGCAAGTCTCGTTCCATCCAGAGGTGACGGAGTCGATGAGAGACAGCAGCGGATATCCCTGGAACAGCTCGGGCGTGGAGGCGCAAGAGCCCGCGATGCGCCGACGAGCCGTGGACAAGGCAGTCGAACAAGTGGCAGAGCAGACCGTGTCCGTGAAGGCCTTATCTCCCGGCGTTCCGTGGTACACCTTCTCGCCGAGGTTGCGGACGTAGACATCGCAGTTGATCGTCTGGTAGAGGACCGCCTCGCAGGCGGAAGTAAGACCAAAGCCAGAGAGGGTGCCTTGAGCGGCGAGTTGGAAGCCAGTGGCGGTTTGTCTTTGCGCGAGGGACTGGAGGACACCTCTGGACTCAACAGCAACAGAGCTCAGGCATAGGGCGAAGAGAACGCTCGCGAGGCGACGTGAGTTTGAAAAAGACATGACGTCTCGATGGTGTTGTAACGAGTGACTGTGGGTAAAGACTGGAGTGGATGATGAAAGGAGGAGAAGGCCGAACGGCTCTGAGCTGAATACGACAAGACCAACGTCAAGTCTTCAATTTCATATCGCGAGTTTCCAACCATGCCACTGACGATTTGACTGCAGGTGATTTCAACTACTCCCTTTCCCCACTCATGTAGTATAATTTTGCGTTGACTAAATTTGTCATCTCTTGCCTCGCAGGCCGGGTCAGGCTGCTATCCAAAGTCCAAAAAGTTGTAAGTGCCGAGGAGGCTGGACCATCGGTCCGTTGCCGAAGCGCCCTTGGCAAATTGGACTCCTGAAGTCCGCATGGTAAGACCAGAGGCAATTTTGTGCCTGAAAGCGGCAGGTGAATGTTGAAATTGAGCTCTCGTGATAGAGAGACGATGGTGCCTGCTTGGCGATTCAGCGAGAATGCAAGGAATCGCGTGCAGGATCGTCCCGTGGGACGGCCAGGGCCGCATCGGAAGTGGATGCGGACAGGGATCGGTGATCGGGGACCCGTCACTTTGTGCTTATGCATATTTCTAGTTACCACAGACGTCTCCGCAATTATCGGTCTTGTTCCTGATCGAATGGCGAACGCGAGACCGGGTTAATGGTCCTACGGAACCAAAGAACCTTGCAGACTGCAACGTTGTCAGCCCTAGGGCCGCTTTGGGTATCCGAGAGAAACATGTCGGCGGAGTCGACAGCAAGGGACTCTCGGAGCCCTCTCCCCATGCGTACATGATCTTCTATTGAGGCAATTTGAACCTGCGTTTCTGCCCCCAAGAGGCGGAGGCAGCAAGACGCTGGGGGGTCAGGGGTCAGGGACTAGATGTCAGATGGCCTCGGACCTGAGGTTTAACGGCTCTTGGCTCTCAGCCCCGAGTTTTGCCTATGAGATTTGACATACGATGAGGTGATGAGTCGACTATGGCATCAAAGAGCTTGTTTCGATAGATATCTAAAGTCTGATCGATGCGCAACTCAACCCGCCATACTTTGGTCTAGTAGATTATTCTATACTGACACATCTGTCATTGCTTCTAGCTTGGCTCCTTCATTATGGCCAAATTTCTGCTCATTCTCTTTTCTTTTGTCTCGTTCTTGCAGCTGTCTCTTCAGCAAGCCCCTGAATGTAGCGCCACACAGCTGTGTCCCATTGGATGCTGCTCCAAGTACGGAGTCTGTGGTACGGGGCCTGATTATTGCGGGTAAGTAGGAGCCTTTTTTTGCTGGGTTTTTGTTGCTGGTAGAATGCTTTCAGACGCTTTGTGAACGCAGTGACTGATGTAGTCGGCGCTGTCTAGTACGGATTGTGTCAGTACATGCGACTTCAAGGCAGACTGCAACCCAGGATGGGATGACCCGAAATGGAGCAAGGCCGACACATGCCCTCTTAACGTCTGCTGCAGCAAGTTTGGCTTCTGCGGTACTACAAAAGACTTCTGTGGTGATGAGACTGTCAAGGTTGGTTCACACCTCTTGAACTCATAGACATTGAATGAGATCTGTCTTCGAACAACGGGCTGATCATTGTCAACCATGCTGAATCTAGCGACCATCATGCGCCGTCAACGATACCCCTATCACCCGTGTGATCGGCTACTACGAGGCCTGGTCTACGACCAACCGTCCTTGCTACGGTATGCTGCCAGAGGAAATCCCATTCGGATATTACACCGACATTATCTTCTCTTTCGCGACGATCGACCCTAGTACCTTTGAGATCAAGGCCGGCGACTCGCAGACGGCGGATTTCATGCAAAGAATCAGCGCCATCAAACTGATCCAGCCGGATATCAAGATCTGGATCGCCGTCGGCGGGTGGGCTTTCAATGACCCCGGCCCGACGCAGTCCACTTTCAGTGACATGGCTGGCTCGACTGATGCCACCAAGAAGTTCATTGACTCTCTCATCAAGCTGATGAACAAGTATGGTTTTGATGGTATTGACATTGACTGGTAAGTCGCCAAGCCACAGCACTACAGGATATAATGCTGACCTCTGGGTGTGTAACAGGGAGTACCCAGTTGCCGATGATCGCTTTGGAAAGGGAGCAGACTTCAAGAACTTTGTCACTTTCATGAAGTCCCTGGCCGACAGGATGCATAGCGGTGACCAAAAGAAGTCTGTGTCCCTGACTCTGCCGTCGAGTTTCTGGTACCTACAGCACTTTGATATCAAAAACCTTGAGAAGCATGTCGACTGGTTCAATATCATGAGCTACGATATCCATGGATCCTGGGATATTGACAACAAGTGGACCGGCCCTTACGCCAACTCACATACCAACATGACTGAGATCCAAGACGCTCTCGACCTGCTGTGGCGAAACGATATCAAGCCGGAAAAGGTCACCTTCGGCATGTCCTTCTACAGCCGAAGCTTCACGCTTCAGAACGCCGGGTGCAACACCCCCGGATGCGTCGTCAGCTCCGGAGGCAACGCGGGCGAGTGCTCCGGCACGACTGGTGTGCTGCTGCACCCCGAGATCGCCGACATCGTAAGCAAGAATAGCCTCACACCCACGCTGCACCGCGAGGCCGCCGTCAAGTCCGTGACGTGGGGCGACCAGTGGACGACGTTCGACGACCTGGCGACGTGGAGGCTCAAGTCCAACATCATCCGCGGGCAGTGCATCCCGGGCGTCATGGTCTGGGCCATGAGCCAGGACGACAAGGACGGAACCAACATCAAGGCCCTGACGTCCGCCGTCGGGCGCAAGGTCATGGACCCGCCCAAGTTCGTGCCGGCGCTGCCCTCCACCGAGCCGCCCAAGGTCGCGGAGCTGTGCCGGTGGTCGGGCTGCTACCAGGACTGCCCGGCCGGCTTCAAGACGGTGCAGCGCAACGGCCACAAGGAGATTATGCTCAACGGTGAGAACTGCCTCGACGGCGGCGTCGACAAGCTCTGCTGCCCGGCCGACCAGGAGATGCCCACCTGCGAGTGGCGCGGACACAGGAACAGCGGCGTCTGCAAGCCCGGGTGCGAGGACGGCGAGGTCAAGGTCGGCTCGCTGCGCGTCGGCTGCAACTTCTCCCACCAGGCCGCGTGCTGCACCAACGTGGCGGCCACGGCGTCCTACGGGATGTGTAAGTGGGTGGGCGAGGCGCCGACGTGCAACCAGGACTGCCCGTCTGACTATCCGAACAAGATCTTCTCGTCCAGGCTCGCCGCGGGAGGGGAGCAGCCGTGCATATCGGGCACGAAGCACTACTGCTGCCAGGAGCCCAAGCCGTCGGACTTTTCAAAGTGCGACTGGGTGAAGAAGGGCAGCCCGCCGCGGTTTGAGCAGGACTTCATCTGCGAGGACAGCTGCCCGGCCGGCCAGATCAAGCTGGCGACCGAGGTGGGCGGCATGAACGCCGAGAACGGCTGCTTTGGCGGCGCGAGGGCGTACTGCTGCGAGCCCCCGAAGGCCATCGTCCCGCGCGGCGACGAGGACCCCTTTGGAGGGAAGCAGAACAAGGAGTTCCAACTTCTGCTCGAGGGGTACATGGAGAACCCGACGTGTCCGGCGACCATCCTGAACCCGTCCGAGGGCAGCATGTTCGGCAACACTTTCACCAAGCGCGACCTAAAGCGCGAGGCCGCTGAGTACCGGTCTCTGCACGGCAGAGCCACGGACTGCGAGGAGGACCGGTTCACGAGGATGGTCTTATTTGGCGCTCTGCTGCTCACGGCGTCCCAGTCGATGCTGGAGCCCCTGAGTCTGGTGTATGATGAGATCTTTGCCGGGGCGTACGATACGGAGCTGGAGTCTGCGAACATCAGGACGTACTACTCGGATCACGAGGGAATGGACCCGAACGCTCTCATGCGATATGTCTTTATGAACCCCATTGATGCCGGGCCCGGGTTGAGGCGGGCGGCGAGAACGGAGACCACGTTCTGTCAGCTCCTCCCGGTGACCAAGCGCGAGGAGAGGGATCTGTCGCGGAATTCTAAGAACGTAAGTGAAGCTCCCCCTTATCTGATGTCTCATCGATTTTCATGCTAAATATTCATAGCTCTCGACACTTGCGTCCCGCCATATAACCTGGCTCCAAAACATCGGCGCCGGCCGGCCGGATATGTCCGCGATCCTCGAGGGCATCCTGAACAACGAGCTCAGCCTGCACTACGCGCGCTGGCAGCACGTCAACGCCCAGGGCGGGCCCATGCTCGAGCTGGCTTACTGGATCGGGGACACACCCGGCGTTGAGACGGGCTCTGAGCTGGACCGGTTCCGAGATGACTCGGAGGGCAACGCGGAGCGCTTCGTCGTGTTCCACTTCCACGTCAACGAAGCAACCAACTGGATCGCGCACGTCAACGGGCGCACGCGCGTCGGGATCCAGTCGGTGCAGGTGTTCCACGGGTACGAGACGGACGCTCGGCCCGGGCAGGCGTGGCGCGTGGACAACACGGCGTCGACGCGGGACGGCTTCAATTGTCCCGACCAGCAGCTCTGGTACGTTGGAGCTGAGACGACCCTGCCGAGTAACCAGTTGCCGGCCGACCAGACTTTCTTCGAGAGATTCCAGCGTTGGAGCAGGATGTTGTTTGATGATGGGTATCTCGCCACGCGGGGGTTGAACTTGATCCTGACGGTGAGTTTCTATTCTGAATGCCCGTTTTTTTTTTGAGGGTGAAAGCTAACATGATAAATAGGGTGGTGCCACAGTCAACAACGGGGGAAATCAAGATCTTGATCCTAACAACGCGGGAATGCTCCTGCGCGGCGGAATGGCTCACCCGGCATGGGGCGTCATTACGCAAACCGTCAACTTCTTGATTGACGGATCTCAATACGACTTCACCCCTCGAGACCCCTTTGCGTGAGGGCCGAGAACCATGAGAGCCGGCTTGAGATACACGGCGAGGGGAAGATGAAAAGCTTCAAGCGACTCGGAACTTGTTTAACTCTTCTAATTCATTATAGTACTTGTTCATTCTACCTACCAAGGAAAGCGGCCTGTTGAGGCAAGGAAAGCATTTCTTTCTTTCTTTACAAGCAATGTAATGGCAGGCAAGACAAAACTTGTTGTATTATATTTCACAATTCTCATATTTAAATCTACTGTATAATGGATGCCTACCAAGTAGCTAACATCAGGCACTGTCACCGCCAGCCGAGGCTAAGTGTGCCGACAAGACGTTTACAACATCCATCGACTTGCATCTCCTGGCCCATGCCAGCGGCGTAGTGCTGTCCGCTTGGCCCAAATCCTGTGCCGATGGAATAGCCCTCTGAACAAAGTCTCGCATGCGGAAACCCCAGACATCGTACAGAGTGTTTGAAGTGGTATAAGGGCTCCGAATGACCCTCGATTTGACGTCAATGGGGGAGCCGCTCTCGATGAGTCTTTTTGCGAGGTTCGCCACCTCTGCCCTGAGATCAGCATCTTGCACTGCTGGCCAAGATGCCAAGGCGTGAAGAGCGGTCCATCCCTCGTCCGTCACGATACTAGCGCTGGCGCCGTTCTGGAGTAGAAAGTTGACCGTAGAGCACATGTCATGTGTGGTCTTCCCCGCTGTCGGAGATAGAGCGCACAGCAGAGGCGTCCATCCGTTGCTGCTGGCCATGTTGGCATCCAGGCCGGAGTTCAACAAGAATTCCACCGCGGTTCTATGCCCCCCTGACGCGGCGTAGTGCAATAACGATTCACCGTGAGAGTTCCGTAGTTGTATGCTCTCCGACTCCAGCGCGCGGCAGTGGGAAAGACAGAGTTGCAGCTGCGGGTAAGTTCCCGTCTTCGCGGCGGCGTGGACCGGCGTCTCCCCAGCTTCGTCTGCGAGATCAGGAAGCGCGCCGTGCAGAAGAAGACACTGAAGAGCAGTAGTGTCGGGGAGCTGACGACTGAGTGGACTGAACACGTAGTGAAGAGCGGTCCTTTGGCGAGCGTCTGGTCGATTGGGGTTCGCTCCCTTCTCCAGGAGGCCGCTGAGGCCGCCGATACACTCATGTGAATGTACTGTGGCGTGGATAAGAGGTTGATTGGAACGGCGGTCCTCACCGTTTGGATCTCCGCCTGCGTCGATGAGGCGACCGACCAGCTGATGCTGACGTGTAGCATCTGCAGTGGTTGGTGCTGGTTTTGTTTCGCGTTCGGGGAGAATCATCCTCTTGCCGACCGCCCTTGCCAGAGCATCTTGGATAACCTCGGGGCCGTATGTGGCGCCAGGATGAGCCAAAAGAAGTGGCACTGTATCATCACACCAGGCTGATGCCGCATCAAGCAGCGCCCTGCGCATCTCTTCGTCGTCCCAACCGTCCCAGGCGCCGAGAAAGTAGGCAGTAAGATCTGCGTGGTTGTTCCTGGCAGCGATTTGTAAACAGTCGGGTCCAGATCGGCCTCTCTTTTTGGGAATGAAGCGTCCGTCAGGGCCGACCCGTTCCCAGAATAGACGAGCCATCTCGAGTCTGCCATGCTGTGAAGCGGCCAGGAGTGGTGTGAAGCCGGGATCCTGTTTGTCTCGCGTATTAGGGTCCACGCCAGCGTCTATCATCATCTGGACAGCGGCATCGTCTGCTTGAAAGATAGCCCAGTGTAGGGCCCAGCCGATATCGTTGTCGGGGTCGATGTCGGGGCACCAGGATTCCAGGATATGTGCCAAGTATTGTTTGTCTCCTGTCTTGTTTCCGTGTCCCAAGTATGGTTCCACAATTACATAGTAGTTGTCTGGAATAGTAGACATGGTGATTATGAAATTGACGTAAGGAAGCCAGAAGGTACAAAAATGGCTGGAGGGTTGCCTTTTAATAGCTTAACTTGGGTACCTGAGGTAGGAAGAGAGAGTTGCAGTCGCAGTCGCATCCCAGTTCGGCTTACTGCCTAAAGTAAGGTAGAAGCGGGTCGTGTCCCCACGCTTGGCAACCAAGGTACCTTGGCTCGAAATATCTTTGTATCGAATTATGTCCATCTCGAATTAAAGGAAGTATCTCTCTTGGGGAAAGTCTATGATAGCTTCATATGAGCATCATGCTCTTTCCTACCAATAATACCAATATCAGTAGCCTGTCCCTACGAGAAAGCCTCGGCAGGTATTGGTTGCAGCTCACATTTTGTTGCATACGTCATACTTATCTACTGCTCAGTCAGGTACTCAGCCGAGATTTCTCAGCTGGCCGTACATATGCTCTCTTCCACCAGCACACACGACCCAAGCACCGCCTGGCTCTACCAAGACCAACGAGCAGACGGGCATTCGGGGGACGGGAGTCGGTCCGAGGGAGGAGTATCTGTACCCGTGTATACGGTCACGGCCTGCGATACGGTTCCGGTATAGAACGGGGATCTTGGAGTATATGGTGTTTTGATATGTTTGGCGGTGCTTGGGATTTTGGCTGGCGCTGTGGCTGTGAGTAGGAATGGCGGGTGTATGGGGACGAGGTTTTCTGATGTTGTTGATGCGACGAGAGGACCGGGGCTGGATGGGATGGTTCGAAGAAGTCATGGGGCGAGATTGGGAGGGATGGCAAAGAGGTTTAAGACTCCGAGGCTTGGGTATAGATTGCTCAAGACGCCGGGCGATGACAAGAACGGATCTGGGTATGTGATGATGCCAGCTGCTGACCCTTTATTACGTAAATTTGGATTCGGATTCGAAGGAGAGGTGGAACGATTCAGAGACACCAAGAGATGAACATATAGAGCTTGTGGATTGATGATCATTGAACGGATCCTATCATCAAAGTTTTAATATACTTCATTCTGTGCGACTGATATCTGGACTTCATTTACCTGCCGCCTGTTCATGATGATGCTATTCCAAGATCTCAGGTTAATGTTATCTGTGCTTCTAATTCACGACCGAATCATTCAGGTGTAATTGATACTTCACAAGTACGTATAGAGAGTCGTCGTGATAAAAAAGTCTATAGAGCAGGAGAAACCTCAATTTCTTCGAAACCCCTGGCAGACCTTTATTCTCGACTGACAACTCCCAGTAAATCTCTGAAACTCGATAGACACTCTGCTAGTCTATAGCCTTCAGTGATCCCTAGACTTTTTTCATATTCCTCCACATTTGTATGCGCAAACACTCTCCATCCCAACACGTCACTGTTTCAAAACGTTGGGTCACGAAGCAAACGTCCGTACAGTAAGCAACAGACGAGACAAACTCTGGTTGGGATCGAAATTGAGTTGAAGTGTTTTGGAAGAAGGTTGTTTTCTAGAATTCTGTTCTACAGTTCTCAGAAGAAAAATAGGTATCAAAAACAAGAGAATAGAAGCGAAACCTCATCTGCCAAGAGACGCCAAATCCATTCCATTAACCATGCCCAATTCGCAACGTGATTCCCAAAAGAGGGTATTGCAAACGAAAAAGCGCAAGTCAGGGCCATAAAACTCCGTGCTCGCAATAAACTGTGCTGTCCAGCTTTTTTCTCAACAGTGTAAACTCCTCTGAAACGCTTCCGCCAGTGTCCGCGACCCAAGTTGCACCAAAAATAAGCAGCCGTCCGAACTGCCGGTATGAACAGGGCCCGGAAATATCATACAGGCTGTCTCTCTCTCTCTCTCACTCTTTCTCTCACTGTGTCACCGTGACGGGCTAGGATTGGCTAGCCAGTAACTCTCCGCACCCAGAGAGTCGTCGGCTCGTACTCTGCATTGCGATCCATTCTCTTGTAGGCTCTGTGCAACTTGAGGCCAATCTCGTACTCCTCTCGTTGAACCTCAGCGAGCTCAACCTTGAGAGCCTCCACCTTGCGCTTCTCGGCCTCGCGTTTCCTAAGGACGGCCTCGCTGGCCAGGATGCTGTCGGTGGGCATGAGCTCTGTCATTTGCTTTATGGCCTGGTTGATGTTGATGCGGCGATTGCCCAACGACTCCAACCGAGCGTTGAGGTAGCCCACGCGATCGTTGACCATGGAGAGCTCGGTCGGCGGCGGAGGCAAGGCTTTGCTAGTAGACCAAACCGACTCCGGGCGACTCGAGTTGCTGTACAGACTGGCAGAGCTCGTTCTAGGCAGCGGCTGCTTTTGACTGGGCAGCTGAGTTCGGGCAGGCGGCGGCGACGTGTCCTCGGTAAAGGCCCCCGACATGTAGGGGGACGACATGGAGATGACGATGGGCTGATCTGGGTTGATGGAAGGGCTGGTGGACTTGAGTACAGGTGGTCGTCTGCGGTTCATGACACCGTCCTTTTGCGGTTGCGGTGGCGTCGGGAGGGATGGCACCGGAGGCCGATCCGACTCTGCAGACTCGCGAGGGGTATCGGGATCGGCGGATGTCGCGTAGGTAGTGACACTGAATCTCGAGGGAGGCTGAGCCCAGGGGTCAGTCGGCTTGGCTGCAGCGGCTGCTTCGCGTTGGGCTGCTGCAGGAGCGCGAGGCGGCGACTTTTCGTGAGTACTGGCGGGTGCGTGAACAGTCTGCTCTGAATAGACACTCGAAGAATAGGAGGGCTGCGGAGCGTGAAGCGCATGCGAGTTGGCAGGAGGAGGCTTTCTTCGTATAGCCTTGTCGAGGCCGAGATGTGCATTAGGGGCAGAGGGCAGGCCCGTCAGGGGTGGGGGTTGTCTCTTCGTGACATTGGCGTCATTAGTGGCTTCGGGCGTCGCATGTACGGGCGATTGGACTCCAGCGCCCGAGTTGGGAGGACTGGGATATGCCGACAGTGCGGGTGGAGGGGTGCGAGCGGCGGAGGGAGATGAGGCGGTAGAAGCAGTAGTCAGCTGGCGGGGAGCGTTGAAGACAGTTCTGATGGTGGGCGTTCTCGACCGCGGTGACGTTTCAGATCCCGAGGGGCTGACAGGGGACAGTGGTGAATTGACACCTGCGATGGGCAGCCGAGGCCCAACGGCGGCGCGTCTGGTGCTCTTGGGCGGGATG